AGAGGAAGCGTCTAACCACTAGCAGCCAGCAGCATCACCTATGGAATTTTGCCGTGTTCATACACATAAACAAGGCAGCTGCAAATCGTTGGGCAGGTTATCCCCAATGCCTGCACCAACTTGTGCACACGGCACAGCGGGTGGAGAGCACTGCAAGTGAGGCAAAGGCCAACATGCTGTAAACCAGTTCAAGAATACCATATGCAATTTAGAGCGGTATGTGTAGAGCCAGCGCACCACGTCACGAAGCAAATTGACCAATTTGGGCCGCTTTCTCTTCAGTAACCTCGACGTGACTTCCGGTGCGCGCCACAAGTGCAAATGCAGATCCATGCCTCCTCGACCAAACTCCCGAAGACAACCAACACTGCCGAACTTTGGAGGGGACAACACACCACGCCCGTCCAGAGACTCAGGTGTGCGCGTTACTCCAAAGTTGCTGGCGTGTTGACAGGCTACAAGGGACTACCCGATATCACAGTGAACACGTGAACGCGAAGGAAGCACTGTGTAGCCTTTCCGGGAACTACAGATTGCTACAGCGTACAATAGTAACGAATGCTCAACCCACTGCTACGCCAACAAGCGAGCTGACCTGCGAGTGGCTGCAGATGCAGCCACCCGACTGAGCAACTCGAATAGAAACCACACAGTAGGTGAATATGCATGCATCCTGCACACCTAGATTCTACACGTGAAATATGGGTGGCAGGATGCGCAATTCCTGTACCTAGTCCACCGTCACAACGTACCGTCTGAAGAGTGCACGTCGGGTTCAGGTTGGCTTAGTGTGCATCTCTACATGGGTCTTCTATTTCATACATCTCTTGCCAGTTGTGTCTTCGCATCAAGGTGATCCTGTCGACAGCGGCAGGCGCGCTCAGTAGGACAAGAGCCTACAGCCCACTGAAGCGCCAGGAATCTGCAGTCAATGGGCATGGCTACGGGGAAACAGATGTCAGAGACAAGCGTTTTTCACATGTACATGCTGCTGCATGCAATGCGGGGCAGCATCGTCAAAGACGCTCATAAGCCCCAGGCACAAGCAATGATGCCCATACTGGTCCAAACTCACCGAGCCTGAACAAAAACCTACCATGCTCCACCCCCAACTGGCTTTGTTGGTCCACGTCATGGCATCTACTCCAACAAATGCCTAGCAATCAAACCGTACTAGCCATTCAAAACATATCGCCTCGGCTCCTCCGGCGCATGTCCTTAGTAAAGCATCAACCTGTTCTCGCCACACATACTGCACATTTTACGCCTTTGCTGCTCAAGCTGCATTCTCTCGCCAGCCTAAACACGATGCTACGGCTCCGAGTCCCACTAACACCGGAAACAAGAACGGCTGCTTGACCTTTTGTGGTGCCCACTGTAGGGCAGTGTGCAATGCCACCAGTGCAGGCTAGGGTGGAGCTCACGACTCGTACACAGCTGCCCTTCGCTATCTCACACGCACGCAAGCGCTTGCTCAAAGGTACCCGTAGACACTTGCCCACCCAAAAAATCGCACAGTGTTCAGCCTGCAAAGGACTGGGTAAGCGGAAGCTCTCCTAGGCGCAGGGGAATCTCTGGCGCCACCTAATCCGTGGCTAGGAAACCAAGATAAAGTCGAGATCGACGCATCGTCGATATTCCCGAAAAGGAGGGCGTTCAATGCCACATGCAACACGCCATTGTGAGCGTGGGGTGAGCATCAACGCATTAGTCTACAGTTGCTTACCCCTAGGTTCGTAGTGCCTCTTCTGGGGGTAGCGCGGTGACAAACGAACTCATGTACTTGCCCCAGCTGCATGCCACCAGGTGTGAAACACAGCATACAGTACCTTGCACATATTCCATAGGCTCAACCCTTCTGTTAATCTTGTGACCGTTGGAAAATGCTTTTTACTTTTCATAGACAATTGAGCTCACTGCACAGCGGCAGGTGTGCCCTGGCTAGCTTTGCCTTACATCTAGGCGCAACGTACTTGCTGTGCGGTGCTGCCCACACTCCTATGAAAGCAGCTGCATTCCCGTTTCCGCCCCGCAAGCATATCCCGCAAACCCGGTACAGTTCGTCCTCTTGCAGGAGGTTTGTCTTCCACAGTTGCCAATGCAACTGTGGAAGACAAGCATTCACCTCAACTTCCTCAACCACCACTTCAACGGAATTGTGTTGCCAGTGGATGCCTCTGCGGCACCTGGAAGACAAGCACATGCGTGTTTCAATAGTTCTCATAGTACAAAACTGCACCGTACTCGGCTCATCACACAGCCTGCCATATTGGCCGCACCGATGTTAAATATCCTTGCTACGTTGGGTCACCCCAACCGCATGCAGACGACAGGCTTGTCGCGCTTGGCGAGTTGGTTTCGAGCTGTAATTTTCCCCCACAGTTATAGTGAAAAGGCATACGAACTGTTCGGAAAGCTGGGTTGCACCATGCCTCTCCTGTAAAACTTGCCTCAGGTATATGTAATCCTCTAACAACGACGCACATAGTCCCACCGAAAAACATGCAGAGATGCTCCTCGTCCACTTTCCTCTCTTCGAAAGGGCAGCGGCTCCTCTAGGACAGACGACGTTGGCAAATGTGGGAGCCTGCTGCCTCCCGCTTGCGCAGGCGCGTGTTTGCAGAGAAATGTAAACGCCTCCGCTGGGTGCATGCAAAAGTCAGCAACACCGCATGATTTTGTCAACGAGCTCCAAATTACGGCACACGCGTGCGCTGCGGCTATATGCAACTGTGAAAGCGAGCCTCCCTACAGTGCGTGAAAAGATGTCGTACCAAGTGTTGACGTAGAGAGGTGAAAGACGTTGAATAAATTCGGTACAGCTCCTTGCAACCAAGAGTCGCGTTGTCAACCCACTACCGACCCGACAAAAGTCCGCTTGCACATCCCCATTCGTTTGCTACGTTTTAGCCTCCAGATACTCCATGGGGGTAGCCATCCCACTCATTATTGAACGTATACCTTTGCGCGCCAAAGGCACTCCACTGCGCTCTGCGTGCTCAAGGTGGGAATCACCATGTGGCAAGCCGCGCACATGTCCCAAATGCGGCTGTGCTAGCAGCGTCTCAATTAGTTTTCACTACAAACAGTGTTGATTTCCGCCTTCACCAATTCAAACGAACTGCAGCTTGAAGACTGATGTTGCTGTCCTCCGCCAAATGGCTCCTCAGCCAGCGCGGCTGTACTAATTTTGATTCGCTGGCAACTCACTCCCTGGAGTAGATCTGTATACTTCAGGTGACTCCCCCTAGCAGACAGGAGACCAGCACCACGAAACACGCGCATAAGCCATAGCTGAAACGCATGGTACCCATAAAAATTACAACGAACGGTGCCTGAACAGGAGCCTACATAATGCCAGCCTGAGATGCTGTTATTTGTCTACGCCAAGGCATACACAAAACATATCAAGCACTCAAATGATTTTAGCCAGCTCGGTGTATACCACTGTTGCTCTCTCCCTTTCAAACCCCAACTACAAAAGCTGAGTCGGTCTTGCCACGCACAATACATTTTACGCCTTCGCCGCTCAGCGTGCCCGCACGCGCTAGCCAGACCACGCCGCTAGAGTCGCCAACTCTAGTGCGGCATCGCTCACGCAGCGTTGCTTCACCTGGTATTTCTACTTCCTCCATGTGTGGCAGTGTTTACTGCGGACTATGCAGGCTGCCGTGGAAACGTCAGGTTAATACGCGTATTGGGACTCCACCGCCGGCTCATAAATTATTCAGCAAAAGGCTTACCTTGAGAGGGCCCAATAGGCAACCTCCGTGTGCTGACGCGGATGCCCCAAAGTTCGCTCGTTGCCCTGCAGCATCCGTCCATCATGGCAAGCACAGCCAAGGAATTCTTGCCTATCACACGGAGAAGCATACTGCTTTTCTGGCCCAGGCAGGCAAGGCCATGGAACTGGGGTAGCTGAACCCTTTCCGGGCTTTGCCAGGCTGCCACACACAGCTACCGACAAACCGCGCTCCTTGTTAGGGATGTATACCACAGTTGTACAGCCTGCTGCGCTGCGCCAACAGCCCACCAAGCAGGATAGCGGCCATTTTGCAGGAACTCGGTAGCGGACCCCTGCGGAGCACCAACACCTGATGGTCCACATAAACGTAAACAAGGACTCCAGTATGGCGCATGTTGCCAGAGCTAGGGCACACCCACCAAGTGCAAAGAGGCAAATCACAGCATTTTTTAGATATATTGCGACCAGCATTAGCTTTTGCGACAAATCTACCTATGATTTATTCCCCAGCCATCCCACGTTTGCCTTCAAATTCCCAACGAAATCGTTCCCTATGCGTATATAGCACTGATTCAGCAAATGTTTTGGCAAAGCGCCAGCCTTCACATCATTGGCAACGCGCAATCAACGGAGTGAAGGACCATGCCAGCTTAAGCTGCATGCTCCTTGACTGCGACAGTGCTTTACCGCAGTGGACGACTTTGATGGGCAAGCGCTCGTGGGTACTTCTGTCCAGAAGCATCACATACGGAATTGTAAAGGCTAATATATGCATTAATTGCATTCCTGCACATCGTTGGGCATGCTCCTCCAGTGTCCACACCAACGCGCACACGATGCAATCAGGGCCCATGATGCACGGGCAAGTGCACTCCAAAGAGAAAAAACCAAACACTCACACATCTTAAACTAAGATGCTTCTGGCCAATACGTCTAACCATGCGACAACCTGACCAGTCTAGGCTGTCCTTTTTTCACCATTTTAGTGACGCCAGAAATGCATGCGTGCATCCGCTTGAGAGGAATTAGCCAGAGTATGTAGCAGAGCATCCCACCCTAGTCTATAGAATCAGCTGTTTTCACCACTGCAATTTTGCTGGTGGATTGACAAGCTAGCAGGAACTGGGAGAAACCACACTGGGCATCGTAAGGAGGCGCGGCGTCGCTCCATTAAACCAGCGATTCCTACAGCGTAAGGAAACATAGAAGGCAGCCCGTAGTGGTTCTGACTACGAGAAAGCTGCGTCGTGAGATGCTGCAATTGCACAGCAGAAGCCGCTCAGTACTCGTGTTGGGATGGACGCTGCACACCCGGTAGATTGGTCGTTTCATACTCATGGTGGGCCGCATGTGGCTGCCTTTGTGCGACTAGCCCATGATCTGAGCCCACTCCTTAGAAGTCCTGTGAGGGCTGACGAAGGCCTAGTGCATCTCTGCATGAATCTCGATCGTGCATAACCTTCGTCAAAAGTCATACCCTTCTCGACACACACTATGCAATTTACGAGCTCACTGCTCAGCTTGCACGCATTCCACTTGCACACGCAATTGCTCTGAAGTACCCAAGAATACTTTGTTGCGCACAACATATGGCACAGTGCTAGCCTTACACAACACTTGTATCCGCCTCTATCGTTCCCCTTGCCAAGGGTTTCTTCGTGTTCCTGCATGTGTGGCTACGAAACCAAGAAATCGGCAAAGCGTTGTTGATGTTCATCAGCCCGGGTTCGTGCAATGCCGTGCACCGAAAGCTCTTGAACATCTGGACTCATCACGAAGTAATTGTATATCTTCCGACCGTCACACATTATGACGGTCAGCTCAGCAACGGACCTAAGCATCATCTCGGATGGGCCACACAGCAGATTGTCCCTTCCATACTTTTCTGCGGCGCAACAGTGCGTAAATCGGACGTCATGAGACGGGCCCACAGACAACTAGTTCCATTTGCAATATTATGGAGAACGGAACTCCTGAGCGTGCACGCCAAGCAGTGTCTGACTGCAAAAAGTCCCCTCTTGCACCCCCCAGTGTGTTCACAATGGTTCCGTAGGGATACAATTTATCGCTTCTTATTCAGCACATGTACTCTATTGGAAAATATATCTTACTCCACAGAATCCCCCTGAAGCCCAGCATTGCCATAGAAGCACCCTAGCTAGGTACGCGTGAGGTTTGGGCGCAACGGACTACCCGTGTTGTCGTGCGCACACTGCTGTGAACGCAGCAGCACTCCCCTGACCACTCAAGGCAACCCCCTAGCCAGCATAACACACTTCCTGAATCAGTACACCGCCAACAAAAACTTAGAATGCCGTGGGATGCAAATCTAACTCAGCCACGGCAAGCAGCTCACTGGCGAAGCTGAGCCACACTCCGGCCAAAGCTGTGGCACCCACCAAGCAAACGCATGCTCGTTTCGGCGGCTTCCATGAAAGAGGGCTTCTCACGCAGCATGAACCGCTGAATGCGCCGGCCAGATAGCGCTGCTGCCGTGGTCCTCCATAGGCTCATGCACGAGCCATGCCCGTGAAGGTGCTTTGTGTGTTGCGTTTTTCCTGTTGCACTGCGTCTACGCCCATACAATATTCTCACTTCCGAATGAAAAGGCTCACCGTCTGTGCGGGGCATCCAAGGCTCACACTCACAGAGAATCTACCACCCGCGGCGATGAGCACAGGCAAACCGTGCGAGGGTCCAGCTTGTGCACTTCTTTACACATGGAGACTCACAAAGCAAGATGCTCTTCCTTCCTCGACAAGCCTCCGTGTAGTTACTCCGTTATTCTCCGTACTTCTGCCTGAGGTCAGTGCTCTTGAGCACCGGAGGACCAGGAATCCCACGGCAGTCGCGAAGGCGAGAAGAGCGAAAATTGCAAAAGGCGCTCTAGTGAGTATTCGCCGGCAGCCTTTTGTGGATAAGTTACTATTGTGAATTGAAAAATCATGCTGGAGTGGAGCTACTTCAAAGCCAGAGATCTGAGGGTCCGATCGATGCCCGGGCTCACTGAGTGTCCCAACAGGGGCACGGGCAACGGACCCGCAAGGCGTGAGGTTAGACATTTTGGATCTAACGGTTAATGTTAGGTTCCTGCGCAAGAAAAAGGCCGTCGCTGTCTCTAGGGGAGTTTTGGTCGGTGTTCCATGTCGGGGAACAGTGGCCCATGCGTGGCGCATTGCCTAGTGAACAGCTGGCGTGCACTGTTACTACGTGCGATTCCTCAGATTCCTAAAGCTATATATATGAATAGGTGCACACACTATATCCAGCTACCAAAATCCACGATTCTCGCTGTAACAACTAATATACACAATTAACAACCAAATATACGATCAAGTTCCTATTATTGTTAGGAAAGAAAACCCAGAATAATAGAACTGATGCCCGACCCTCGCCGAGGGCCAGGGCCAGAGTCACAGCAGCAGCCAACAGCCTCGCACCCAGCCCCAAGCTGGCGCCGGCGACGAGCACTCCGATACTATTAAGCTGCTTTCCTATCTAAGAGTGTCCTAATCCCTGGAATTTTCTATAGTATTCATTCTTTTTCATGATATTAGGTCACTAGAGGCCACGCCAAAGCTCCATTGTAGTGCCTGTGGACTACACCTTGACTGCTGTTCCCGAGACCGCCTCGACGCGCTGGGAGAAAACAGGGCGTGAAGTTCCGTTAAAATTTACGAGACAGAACTATATGAGTAAATTGTATGAAAGATAAAGAGCCAAGGTCTCTTCTTGTGAGTCGCTGGTGTCGCTGGTGTTGGTTAGAAGGGAGGCTGGCTCTCTCGTGGGTCCCAGAGCACTGCGACTTCGGGCTGTTCTGAAAACTGTAGTATTGAAGCAAAGGAGACAAATTAATTAGTAAGTAGTAGTAGTAGCAAATATAAGGAGACCTAACTGTCTTCGTGTGATCTTCCAGTGTCCCGTAGCTACTGGCCATACAGGAGGCTAGCCGGCGCGTGGGACCCAGAGCATTGCAGCGCACTGCAATGCAATGCACTGTGCCGTTAGCGGAAATGCAGCATTGAAACAAAAAGTGAAGCCTTTAAAAATTCCTCTTGATTAGGTTTCCGTGTTTAAAAGAAACTCCCATGTCATGGTGCACACCCAATTATGAACCTATAGTCAGCGCATGATCCTTAGTTTAATTCAGAATCTCATTTAACACTCTCTAATTCTTCTCCGAGTCCAATCTACCCAAAGTTGGAACAGTAATAGTAGTTCTCTTGCCGACGAGGGCCCCTTGCGGCTCAACGCCTCAACTACCGTGCCCATATCACAGCGTGCGTAGGGAACAGATATCACGCACGGCTGTTACTTTGTGCGACCCTATGTTCACCTACTAGTGCAATATCTATCGTTACAGTCAGCGAACCAGAAGGACTGGCCCAGGCACGAAGTGTACAGCTTCACATATACATTAAGAATATGGAACAGAGTTTCCAACGTCTCCGCAGTACCTTGTTTAACCTTGCAAGCAATCAAACTAGTGCGGCCTGGTGTATTGGGCTGGATCTCGGTGCTTCTTATGCATTCTATCCCTTGATTAAATAAAATAACGGTCACAATCCTTAAAAAACATGCTGGCGTCTCATAATCTTAAAAAGGAAGACCAAGAATAAAAGAACTCCCGCCTTGACCCCCAGGCGGGTCGGCGCCCGGGCGGGAGTGCCACCTCACAGTCAGCCCCGGACCAGCCCTCCTCGCCGAGTAGTCTTAGCCTCAAGGCTTTCTTTCCCCTATCCGATGCTATTTGATTCATTCCAATTAAATCTTTGATTTTTCTCTTTGTGCTCGAAAGATTGCTAGGGGACCGGCTTGAGCACCCTTGTAGTGCCGGTCCACTCCAGTGTGTTTTTCCTTCCTCTGCCCCCGATCGATGCTAGTCCTAGTCATCCAAACTGCTCCTCGAGCGAACCAAAAGGACTGGCCCAGGCGGGAAATGTACCGCTTCATATATGCATAAACAATGTGGAAACGGAGATTCCAACGTCCCCGCAATACCTTGTTAAACCTTGCAAACAATCAACCTAGTGCGGCCCGGTCGATTGGGCTGGATTATACTGAGTTCGACGCTTCTTATGCCATCTATGCCTGTTTCTTATGCCTTCTACGCCTTAGGATTAGTGCCTACATGGAAGAAGCCACGTAGCCACTAATCCGCCTATTGACTGCCCCATGGTGCTCGTACTTGGGCGCTCTTGTCGTTCGCAAATTGTTTGGGTTTATATTATTCAGCATATATAAGGTGTGCCACATTGGTCGAAACTGGTGGGTTGGGATTTTCATCCCACCTCTCATGAACTTTCGCAGGAGTATTAATAGAGTACATACCACCTAAGTTTCATAGTGCTTCACCGCACTTCCCAAAAAGGTGTTCGGGGATATCCACTAAGACTACTGTGAACAGCCACATATCTACGGACACTCGGACGGTCACAGTGCCTGTTCGCTCTAGTGAAAAGCTTGGACTACAAAATGGTAGCTGGAAAACGGGTTAGTTGCGAGTTTCAGTTGGTTGAATTCGACCCCATACATTCTAGCGCTTTTTACGCTTTGGCGATAATTGCTTCTAGGTTTATCTCTCGCTTACTGCCTAGAAGGCAACCCTCGCAACAGGTCTCATGACATCAAACCGTCTGCAATGTTGTGCCCGCATTCAATAAACTGTTGTTAGACAAATTGAGCGTCCCCAAGCAACCGTGGTCGTATCGTCCCTCCACACCATCGGGGGGAAAACGTTCCAGTAAGCAAAAAACACTCGCTTGCGTTGCACATTGCCTGTCTAGTTCTCCGTTACATCGCTACTTTGCAGTGTATGCCGGATCTTCAACTCGCAAGCACAATGGATATAAGATCTCAGTCAGTGATAAGATTCTTGTAGGCGTACTTTAGAGAACATCGGCAGCGTATAGTCTGTGTCAGATCAGGCGAGTCCGCTGTTCTATGTCAGGTCAGGTGCTGTAGTGAACTGCATCAGGTGCAGCAGCGATGCAAAATGTAAGAGCTGATTATCGCAGCCCTGTGCAAGCAATGCCCGCACGATGACACCTTCACAATATTCGATTCGGTACCAAAAAGAGCCTGGCCGCTGCAAAATATCTGGGAGCAACCCGTGGAGGGTCACAAGCAATACCAGTCCCGTTGCTGCTTCTCAATCGCCCTCCTAATTCTAGTATGGAAGGGTCATTCGCCAAATGTTGAGCAGCATATTCATGCACTGGATTCAACAGCCGATTCTACGCACCCTCTTCGATTTTGCCCCCCAATAAGCATAGGAAGAGCTCAGAGCATCCGTGCGACAAATTCCAGCTCCACCTTGTCCGCATTCACCTCTGCAATCATATACTCAGATATCTCGTAGGGTAAGCAACCGGACAGACGTATCCCCTGTAACGCCACTAAGTCAGCGTTTATTCATTCATGTGCAGTCGCATAGGCCTCGGTGTTGGCTTCCTTCTCGCGACTAACTGTGCTTCAATTTGCTCACCCCTCGGACAAAACGCTGCTTATTATCTCGAACGCCTCCAGCACGCACACGCACGTGCTTTTTGCGTGTTTTTGATCCTACAAGGTGCTGTGTTGCTGTATCCAGATCGTCTACCCACGGCTTGTTCCATGGTTCGAGGCCGCGCAAGCAAACTGCGCATTTCCTACAATACCCAGCAGTTCGCCAAGACTAAACTGAAACACAGAACCATTCTGGAGGGGCTAAAATGCATTTTACTTACTCTAAAGCAGCAACAGCCAACCACAGTTTTCAACAGCATTGTCACATCCCGTCCACGATGCAAGCTGAGAAACAATGTGGGACATTTGTGCCTGTGGCGAATCTCCAAACAACTCCTTTGTGGCTAACATTTAAGTGCCGATATCTCAATCGGTAACACTGCGAAAACACTGGATGCCGAGGCCCGGTTCGCCATGGGTAGGCACGCTCGCAGCATAAAACTCTGCATGAAGGCCCAATCCAGCCACCGCTTCACCGCCTTGACAGCTTATACACAGATAAACTGGGCCGGAGGCAGCCCTGGAAATTCTACCTCTAGTGTTGATCGTTCTCCGCGGGCTAGAAGAGAATGGCGCTGAGTTGCTGTGCGGATGGCTTCTACTCCCCCAGTTCCCAGCAGAGATGCCCACGTGCACAGTCTGCAGGGGGCTCATCCTTATCTCTGCTGAAGCAGCGCATTAATCGGTTGAGCTTGTCCGGTATCCCTCAAGCGCTGTAATTCACGAACCGGAGAACACAGGCCACTGTTCAGGTAGCACGAGCTGGTGTTGCCCCGCACTGAAAACTCAAGAGATTGGCTAGTTCACGGTGTCATATGCAGCATGTGAGGTGGTTCCACAAACCCCAGCTCCTATAATGACAGAACTGGGAGTGTTGGCAATGTATCAGCGTTCAAAATAACGGCAGCGGAAGAATATATATGGAGTAGCAAGACCACTCTAAATGAATGAGCCTCGATGCTACTACCACCGCTGCACAAAGCTGGCTGCTTACCCCATGCGCATACCGTCAACCAGTTAGTTGCCACTACCCGAACACATGTGTATGCAAATATATATATATATATATATATATATATATATATACTTGTGTGTACCGTGTTGGACACACAGATTAGTACGCAGATGTAACTTCACTCCTCTCCGCTTCAGTCCTCGTTGACACAGAGCCAAACTGTTTCGCGGTGCATTAGAAGTGTTCTGCTTCGCGGAGGCATGCGCTGTCCTTCCTTCTGTGCCTCGGACTTCCTGAATTTTCCCAAGACGATTCACCGTACACTCCGGCGACGTGCAAGCATACGAGCAAGGGTATCAGCAGTACGTATATGGAAATCCACCATCACCAGTTGGCTCTGCTACAAACTTAACATCGAAAAAGTCCCGAATTCATTTTGGCATTAAGTTATACAGTGCCCCAAATAGCTCCGGAAAGAACGTATCCGGTGCCGCACATTCTACTCCGCAGTTCTTGAAGAGAAAATTGGTAGCTGAAAGACGAAATCAAGCGGCGAGCCTGCATCGAGATGCCAACCGTTGAGAGAGAAGCCACAAGTTGTCTGTAGGAATAGTGGGCAATTCTTCAGTAAATCGAGAGCCGTGTAATGGCAACAACGCAATAATTTTATTTTTTATTAAGATGGCTTTAAACATCTGACGTGGGTCCGAAGTCAACGGCATACACCACCACACCATACTCAGAAAGCCGACTGAGACTCATCGGAAGAGCCTACATTTTGTGATATCACCAATGCACCCTACGCCCCACCATCCAGCTCGCAAACACCGTTCTCTTGATCAATATCCATTGTCACACGCATTTTGCCCTAAAGCTGTGTTCATTGGGCCTAATGCATCCTCAGCCCTACACAGTTTTCGCAAGACCCCCGCCACCACTTTTAGAGCTGCTCTGTTTTGTGCCGGCATGCGTTACTTTGCGCAACGAGACGTACATGAATCTTTACACTTGCAGCCAGGCAGTCTCACCTCCAGCACAGGTGCCATGCAGACACAGGTGCCTCAGGCACATCGATGCATCTGGCTCGTTGACACTGAAGTTTGGGTGTTTTTCAGTTGAATATGCGTGGGTTGTTCATTCCCGGGTTTAACTGGGCACCTGGTATTCAGTATCGCGTTACACTTAAATCAGCGAGGGTAACGTCTACACGCTACCCTCGCCATGCAGGCAATCTAAGCATAATGTTGGCTTTGCTGCAAGCCAGAGCAATAAACATGCATAAGGTCTTCAATCCATAAGGTCTCTTGATCAGGAAAACCCTTCTGGTTCAGATGGACTTCGCATGCAGTCGTATATATATATATATATATATATATATATATTTGCAATCTGTGAAAGGATCAGCGGCAGCTTAAAATGAGAGGAGCAGCTGAAAACGAACAATTAAGGGAACACGAGTAGGCTGGCTCGGGTTCTTATCGTTTCGGGATCAACAGACAATTTGCACGTCGGACCAGGCGTGCCCTTGACAACTGCCAATAATAAATATACTACAATAGATACTTAAAACAAATTCGCTCAAAACTATCGCTACCAGAAGATAACCTCGCAATCGCCAAGTCATATTCCAAGTGTCTATACAACTCGATGGCCATTACAACGGCACATCTTTTGACCGGTTTTTCTTCTGCATTCTTCAACTGGTTAAGGGGCACCAACTCGACTCCAGCCAGAGAGATGCAGCAAACATTTTCTAGGGGTTCTAACCCAATGCAACAGCACAAAAATGCGTCACAAAAGGGCTCCCGTAAAGCCCTCCCTCTTCCGCATTCAAGCAGCGGGAATTGCGGTCTATTTCACCTCTGAAAGGTCAATTTGACCTTCAGTGGTGCTGCTTATGCTGCTGTTCGTGCTGCTGCTGCTGCTGCTGCAGCTGTAAATCCTGCAGGGTTTAAGCTAGCTGGTAGGTGCTGCATTGGGCAGTTGAGCGAAAGGAGTTCATGCTAAGGGGCCCCGAAACAAAATAATTGGTGCGAAGTACCACAAGGGTCCCCGTTGGTTTGTCTGCTACAGAAAGTTGCTGAACCTCAGGAATGCTTGATGGTTACCTCGTTGCAGAACAGCAGCAGCGGCCGCTGCTGCTGCTTCTCCTGCCTCTGCTGCTGCTTTCTGTGCTGGCGTTTGCACCGCAGTGCTTCCTGCAGCCTTGAGTGTTGCCACAGCTGGGGATGGGCCCTGATGCCCTGAAGCAGCAGCAGCACCTGCGGTAGCAGCAGCACCAGCGGAGTGGCCTTCTGCTGCTGCTCCTGCGGGTGCTGCTGCTGCGTCCAAGTATACAGGCAACTGCTGCTGGGAGCAGTCTAAGGAAAAGAGGTCGGGCCCCTGAAGCGAAGGCCTAAAGAAACCAGTCAGAAGATAAATGGCGCGCTGTCTCTCCGTATCAAACACCTTATTGCTGACGTATCTGCAGGCAGCAGCACAGGACCAAACGACACTGCAGCTGCTGCCGTCCCATCCCAAAACAGCATCTGCTACTTTTACTACTGCTGCGGCTGCTGTTGCTGCCGCTGCTGCTGCTGCCGCTGCTGCAACGCGTGTTGACGCACCTCTGCACTGCGTAAAGGGCGCTAGTCCTTGACTGCGCTACCCACGGCCTGTCTTTCATTCCGAGGATCATTCGTTCCCAAGTTGCTGCTGCTACTTCAGCACGCTGTAGAGCCGCAGACACCGACTGCTGCTGCGACTGCTGCTGCTGCGGCTGCTGTTGCTGCTGCTGCTGTTGCTGCTGCGTTGCCAACGCAGCAGCAGCAGCACGGGCAGGACTGGGAGGAAACTCAGCCGCATGCAGAGCCGGCGATCCCGCATACTGAATTGAAATGCTGTCGCCGATGCCTCTCCACAGGGCCCCCAAAACAGCAACAAGCGCTGCATCTCCCTTAAACGCTGACAAAGGCGAAGCACCAGAAGAAAAAATGCCCCCTGCTGCTGCTGCTGCTGCAGATGCTGCTGCTGCTGCTGCTGCAGATGCTACTGCTGCTGCAGCACACGGTGAGCCCAATCCGGGCTGCAGCACCACTTCTGGTAGCTCCAAACGGGATGCTGCTGCTGCTGCTGCTGCTGATCCATTTCCCCAGCCCTGAGACGCAGGAAGCAAAGAACTGTCCGTAGTTCCATGCAACTCCTCTGCTGCTGCTGCGACCACAGCAGAACCACAACTTTCCTGCTGTTGCTGCCCCGTGAGTTGCTGTTGCTGCTGCTCCAGCTGCAGTCGTGCCTCGTGTGTGCGTTTCGTTTCCACTATTTGCTGCAGCAACAAAGCTTCTGCTGCTGATTTCAAGACGTCCTGCGCTCCCTCCAGTACGCAGCAGCTGTGCGGGCAAGGGCTGCCTGGCCTCCAGAGCCCCACAGCCCTCAGGTGTATGTACAGCGCAACAACGCCGAGGCAGACGTGAGCGATGTTCGTTCGGTCTAGACAGTCGATACAGTTGAAACGAACCACTCCCTTCTGCAGCACCCCAGTAGGCTCCTCCTCCTGTTGCCCCTGTCGCTGCATTTGCTGTTGCTGCTGCTGCTGCTCCTGCTGGAACAGAAAGAATCCTGTTTGCTGCAGCAGCTTAGAGCCAAGAACCGCCAACTCCGCAAACGCGGAGTCAAAGCCAATCGATTCGCTGCGCACGTGCCAATCCATTTCGTAGTAATGCACCTGCGGCAGCTGCCCCTGCTGCTGCTGCTGCTTCTGCTCTTCGCCGCTGTTGTTCTGTGCAGCGGGCTCGTCTACAATAGCTACATCGCCCGTGCTCGTGTTCGTGCTGCAGGCCTCTGGTGTGGCGGTGCGATCTGCTGGGTCTAGGTCTCTGCTGCTGCTACTTGTGCTGCTGCTGCTGCCGCTGCCGCTGCTGCTGATGTTGGTGCTGGTGGCGCTGCTGCTGCTAGTGTTGGTGCTGGTGCTGCTGTCGCTACTGGGGTGTATATACACTGCAAATTCATCGCTACAGAGACCCAAGGCCTTACGATATGCACGGCTGAGAGTTCCTTCTACGGTGTGCTGCTGGCGAACGAGGTCGAGCAGCAGCAGCGGCTGGTGGTAGCGGCGCAGCAGCCAGTGCAGGTGTCGTTTCAGGTGTACGTACACCTCAGCAGCAGGCAAATCAATGCAGGTATTTGGTGAGGGCATCAGAAAAGAAAACAGAGCACGGGAGACGCTTTCATGCCGCCAATATATCGGTATAGACCCTCGCAAGAACACAACAGACGCGCAGCAGGGAGAGAAGCGCCACCCTCGCGAGGTTGGGGCACATCCTGCTGCTGCTGCTGCTGCTACTGCAGCTGATGTTGTTCCTGCTGCTACTCGCGCTGCCGATGATCCTCCTGCTGCTGCTGCTGCTGTTGCTGCATCCGAGTCACCAAACATACGACGCAGCTTGCTGGCAGTGGAAGCTGCTGCTACCGCGCACGAATCTGCTGCTGTTGCTGCAGCTGCTGCCTGCGCTGCTGCTGCTGCTGCTTCCGTTGCTGCTCCCGCTTCAGGTGTTTCTGCTGCTTCGGGTGTTGCTGCTGCTTCGGATGTTGCTGCTGCCTTTGGCATTGGCGGCGGCAGCACACGCCATAGCATTTGCTCGCACTCGACTTCGTTAGCGACGCCCAGTGGGCTGCTGCTGCTGCTGCTGCTCTCTGCTGCTGCTTCCCCTGCTGCTGCTGCTGCTGCATCAGAAGGTCGCTCCAAACCTCGACTGTAAAAGCGAGTCCCAGCAGCAAACCGCGAGCGCCTTGCCAACACAGACAGCTGAAGGAACTCCAACTCCCTTCCCAGCTGCTGCTGCTGCTGCTGCTGCCGTTGCTGTTGTTGTTGTTGCTGCTGCTGTCTGTGCTGTCCTGGGATGAGAGCGACCGTCTGCTGCTGCAGCCCCCCTTGCACTAACACCGTCTGCCAGGGAGAGAAGCAGCAGCTGGTGGCTGCTGCTGCTGCTGATGACGATGCTGATGAACAGCAGCAGCAACCCGAGCACCCGTACACGAAAGACCCGCTGCTGCTGCTGCTGCTGCCAACGCTGTCTGCTGGACGATCCTCACCGTAGCTTGCCCCATCCGCTGCTGCTGCAGTTGCTGCAGCAGCAGCTGCTGCTTCTGTTGACTTTGCTGCAGGCGCATGCAATGCGTGCTCCTGCAGTTGCCGCAGCAGAAATTTGTTGAAGACGAAGTGCCCGCCAGCGCCCCGCTGCAGTTTGCGGTGGTTGCTGCTGCAGCATGCGCACCGCTCGGCTTCCAACTGCTGCTCCTGCTGCTGCTGCACTTGCTGCTGCAGGGAGAGGGTGAGGTCAAGGTCGCTGGAAAACAGCAGAGAATGCGGTGAAGTGCTGAATGCAGACAGCAGCAAACAGCAAAGCCGCTGTTCTCTCTCAAGCAGCTTCCTGAACTCAGCGACCTCTAGCGGCTGCAGCCGGCCACTCTGCTGCTGGCGCTGCTGTTGCTGCTGCTGCAGCTGTTGCATCTCCACCAGCTCTGGGGGCGACGAGCAGCCGTCGCTGTTGCTGCTGCTGCTGCTTTCTGCTGCTGCTGCTGCTACCTGTATCTCTCCAACATCTACCCCTGCAGGGGCGCAGCAGCCACCAACGCGAGGGCCCCCATAGAAGACCTGCCGCTGAAGTTCAACAGCAGCAGCATCTGCAGCAGCAGTTGCTGCTGCATGATGCAGCAGCTGCTTACCCTCCCACCTCCAGGAGAAGAGAGGAATGAGCCGCACCCCCTCAACAGCAAATATAGGCAAAGGATCCAAACCCCCTTCTGCTGCTGCTGCACCTCCTGCTGCTGCTGCTGCTGCTGCTGTACCTGCTGCTGCTGCTGCTGCTGCTGCTGCAATGTTCGGTAGAGCCCCTACAGTGGCTTTGTGGGTTATAATGCAGAGGTAAATACCGCAAAGGAGTCGCACGGCCCCTAAAACACCAAATGAAAGACTAACAGAAAAACAGCTGCATGCACCATGGCCGCAGCTGCTGCGCGCAGCAACAAAGTTGCTGCTGCGACTGCTGCTGCTGGCGTTGCTGTTGCTGCTGGTGCCAGGAGCGCCAGCGCTGTCACCTGCAGTTAATGTGCTTGCAGCAGCAGCTTCCAAGTGCTGCTGCTGCTGCTGCTGCTGCTGCTGCTGGGCACTGGGGGCCCGCAGCAGTAGCCGCAGACCGTCGGTATTGTGACGCTGCTGCTGCAGCTGGAGAACATACTTTTGCTGCTGCTGCTGCAGCAGCAACTTCGTCGACTCAAAAATGCACGCTGTGGGAAGACAGTGCTGCTGGTATACAGCAACAGAACTAAGGCTGCTACTAGATTCCGTGCAGCAGCAGCAGCAGCTGCTGCTGCTGCTGCTGGTGTTGCTCTTGCTGCTGCTCCTGCATCCTGCTACGGCTGCTGCGGCTGCTGGGTCCAAGACTGTCTTCGTGAAGACCAACAGCCGGCCGTAGCAGTTGCATCGGCAGCAGCAGCCGCGTGCACTGTCTCCAGAGGTAACCTGCTGCTGCTGTGGCTGTTGCTGCTGTTGCTGCTGCTGCTGCACATTTAGCGCTAGAAGACAAACTGCGCCTGGGAGCTCGTAAACCACCACCTCCCTTAGAGGAGAAGCCATCATCAACAGCAGCAACAGACCCTCTCCCGCATGCAGAAATTAGGCAAACACCTCCTAAGGGTTTAGGGTTTAGGGTTTAGGGCTTCGAGTTTAGGGTTTGAAGTCCGAGACAAGACTACCCGCTTCTCATGCAGCCGCATAACTTAAGGCCCCCCACAGGTATGTTGCTGCTGTTGCTGCGGCTACTGCTGTTGCTGCTGCTGTTGCTGTTGCTGCTGCTGCTACTGTTGTTGTTGCTGTTGTTGTTGACTGCTGCTGCTGCTGCTTGCTGCTGCTGGTTGGTGCCACCTACGCTTCTTTTCGGCACCTACATAGCCTGCTGTTGTCGCTGCGGCTGCAGCTAGCGCAGCAGCAGCTGCTGCTGGTGGTCGCAGGAAGCGCAGCAGCAGCAGCTTCCAAGGGAAGACAGCGCAGCAGCTAGCGCTGAGTGTGGGGCCCCACAGGGCACGCGACAGCATCAGCGGCGCTGCATCAGCAGCAGCAGCAGCAGCAACTGCAGCAGCGGCAGCTGCTGCTGCAGCAGCAGAGGGTTGACGGGAGAAGGCTAGCTGCTATAAGCAGAGCCAAGGCAGCAGCAAGTTAGGGTTTTTGTTTTTGTTTAGGTGGGCTTATGAAATAGAATGAGTAGAGAGCGAAAGTTAAAGCAATAAATTGAAGCAATTAAGCAGTGATTCAACATACTAATGAGCACACAACAAGAAGCGTGCTGCAGTGAAGCTGCTACTACTGCTGCTGCTGCTGCTGTTGCTGCGCTGCTGCTGCTGCTGCTACTGCTGCTGGGGGGCTGCTTCAGGCAGCGGCGCTGCTGCTGTTGCTGCAGCAGCAGCAGCAGGCTTCTGGTTCGTTTGCTTTGCCTTACTGAGCGGATTATTAATATTATTCGCAATTAATTTCGTTTGAAATACAATTACTCCGTTGTACTCTGCAATTGCAGGCGGGGGTTGGCTGTACATCCCCCTACGTCTTTCTGCCGCCAAGGCAGGGCAGAGTCTATTAATTTAATTTCTTTTTTGTTTTTATTCATTTTTATTCAAAGTAAGCGCAGAAAATCTGATTCTACTGAGGTGTTTGAAGGCCCTAGAGGGGCACAACGACACCCAGACGCCTTGCTGCTGCTGCTGCATGCTGCATGCTGCTGCTGCTGCATGCTGCTGCTGCTGTTGTGTTAAGTGCACAACAATACCTTTTCTTTGGTTTTTGATAGACAGCTGATTCGTGAAGAAGAGTAGGGGAGGGTCTGTTGACTTATCTGTAGCAATAGCAGCAGCAGCAGCAGCAGCAGCAACTGCAGCAGCAGCAGCAACTGCAGCAGCAGCAGCAACTGCAGAGGCAGCAGCAACGGCAGAGGCAGCAGCAACTGCAGCAGCAGCAGCAGCAGCAACAGCAGCAGCAGCAGCAACTGCAGCAGCAGCAGCACCAGCAGCAGCAACAGGAGCTGCTGCTGGAGGGTTTGAAATAAGTGAGGGTGTGCGTTTTTGCTTTGGGTTTCTGCAGGATGGCGGCAGCAGCAGAGGGAGAAAAGACCGCCCCTCATATGATCAACCGAGACAACCCTGTGAGTCTTGAGGGTTTAGGGTTTAGGGTTTAGGGTTTTAGGGTTTAGACAACCCTGTGGATGTCGAGGGTTTGAAGTCTAGGGTATCGATTCAAGGGCTAGGGTTTAGGGTTTAGGGTTAGTGCTTAGACCCTAAACCCTAAAGCCTAGCCCTTGAACCGAATGTTTGCGTTGTATTGATTTATTACAAATATAAAGAAAGGATTTAGTTATTGTTGCAGACACTCTTGTGTATATTTAAGCAATATTGTTTTATTTATTTGTCCTTCTCTTCTCTTCTCTTCTCTTCTTTCTTTTTTTTATTTTCTTTTTTCTCGTCTGTCTTTAAATATTTTAATATATTTTTCCTCTGCTTTCTTTTGTCGCTTTTACATTCTCTCGCTTTTCTCTGTTTTCTTTGTTTTTTTCTCGTTTCTCTTTGTTTTCTTTTATCTTTTCTCCCTGTTATCTCTTCTTTTTCTCTTCTGTCTTTGCCCTGCGTTTTATTTATGTCTATGAAATATATATATATATGTATATATATAGTTTAAATATATTTTTAACGTTTTGTTTGTGTGCGTTTGTAGGAAGGCGGCCCATTAACATTATTGTCGCGCTGCGTCTTAGATAATAGTCAGGTTCTAATAAACTGTAGAAATAACAGAAAGTTATTAGGAAGAGTTAAAGCATTTGACAGACACTGCAATTTGCTGCTAACAGATGTTCGAGAGATGTGGTCAGAGGTTACAAGAGGGGGCGGAAAGAAGAAACAAAGAACAATTAATAAAGACAGATTCATCTCGAAACTCTTTCTTAGAGGAGATGCAGTTATTCTAATCCTTAGAAATCCCAAATAAATTAATTATAAACACTCTTTTTCTTTTTCTTTATCTAAGTCTTCTTCTTATGCACTTTCTTGTTGTTATTGTTATTGTTTACAAGAGGGGGCGGAAAGAAGAAACAAAGAACAATTAATAAAGACAGATTCATCTCTCGAAACTCTTTCTTTAATTCTTTTTTATTGTTATTGTTGTTAATGCTCTGTTGGTGATGCAATTTAGTTTTGCTGCTGTTGCTTTCTTTCTTTTCTTACTTTGAATCCCCTTATGCGAGTTCGTTTGCATTTAAAAGAAACAAAAATAATATGATATACATTATCTAGAGCCTATAAGGATATATAAATATATACATATATATATAATTATATATATATATGTAGATTGATAGTCTATATGTACTATATTCTCAACAAATAAAACGCTACGAGCGAAGGCACAGCCAAACAGCAGCAGCAAACAGCAGAAACATGCAGCAGCAGCAGCAACATGCAGCAGCAACAGGCGAGCATATATTATTGGTGCATGCAGATGGTGTTGCTGCTGCAGCAGCAGCTGTAGCAGCAGCAGCAGCTGCTGCTCTTGTGCAGTGGTTTGCTTGTATGCACGCATTGCTGTACAATAAGTAAGAAGCAAATTATACTGCTGCTGTTTCTTTCCTTTAGAATTGCCTTGCTTTAATCACCTCCCTATACACCTGAAATATACACAAAAACATGTCCCTAAGCCCTGCTCGAAGCAGTAGCAGCGCGAAATGCAGCAGCAGCAGAGCAGCAGCAGCAACAGCAGCGGAGTGAGAGGATTTTGATTATTTTAGTATTACAGCAACCATAGCCAAATGCAACGTAGAGAGAGACAGCACGTAAATGCTGCTGCTTGTTTTGCTGCTGCTAATGTTGCTGCTGCTAATATTGCTGCTGCTGCTGTTGCTGCTGCTGCTGTTGCTGCTGCTGTTTCTTCATCGCGCTCATTTACTGTCTCTTTTTTTGTATCTTTATTTTGTTGTTTTTCTTCTTCATCTATTTGTTCTATCTGTTTTGTTTGTTTTGTTTGTTTCATTTTTTTTGTTTGTTTTTGTTTGCTTTGTTTGTCTTTGTTTTGTCTTTTTTTGTTTTTGTTTGGCTCTTAGGGTATTCTCAGAAAAAAAGAAATGAAATTATTTTTGTTGAAGTTGTTTTGAGTAAATTATTAATATTGTTTTTGTATTAAGATTGCAATCGTAACAAATCCAAATATATAATATATATATATATGTATATAATATATATATATATATATATATATATATACTTATACTTTGTATTTATAAGCATATTTATACACATATGCATATATATATACATATATACATAAATATATGTATATATATATACATATATACATATATACATATATATATATATATATATATATATA